CGTACAGTGTTTATTTGACCCTATCACCAGTCAGCACTCTCCCTTTCCCAACAGGAACTCAAGAACAAAGGCCCATCAGAAGAGACAGACTTTCTGTGTAGTCACAAACACAACCAAGAGAGAAGCATCAAGAACACAACGCTGCCTCAGAGTCTATTCCCAGCCACTTCCTCCAGGCGCTAAAATGTGGAAATGCGAGGTATCAAAAGTCTGCCACCTCGCAGCCAAACCTGATTACAGCTGACATTCCCACAATGACCAAACTCTGTGATCTTGTTGTCTCTCAGAATCTGGACGTAACTACTAAAACAAACAGCACGTTAAAGAACAACGTAATGTTTTTGGAACGCTTCCTGTCCAGCTCGACTGCTTCGCCCACATTGTTCCTGAGAATGAGTTCCTCTTTGCGAGGAAGTGTTGCTGTGGGGCCCGTTACTGAAAGTCTCCCGAGTGCCTTTGACCCATAGTGACCCACACTTACCTCTGAAATGCATCTGATAGGCCCGGCAGCTTAGCTAGTGAGCTGATGTTGTGTTGTAATCATGCAGGGACAGTAGCAGTAGGATCCACAGCAGCGAGACATGGAGGATTTACACCGGAGTTCATTTTTGACCCCTGAAACAAACAGCAGTTGACAAAACAATTTCACCACATGTAGCTGTTCTAGGGCTTTTGATGATATCACATGATCTTCTTCAGGAGATGGAGTTTGCCCAGACGTCATGGAATTCGATTGAAAGTACTGAAATATATTGTTATAACTAATAACAGAAAAAAAGAAGGAAATTAGAACATCGTCAGTCCCTGACTGGGCAAACCCCACCTGCTCTGCTCGAGGGTGCACTACTGCAGTGTTTTCAACCTCTTCTGAGCCGCGGTACATTCTTTACATTAAAAAGATCCCGCAGCACACTAACAACCAACAAAAGTCACAAAATGACACATTGTAGTATAATACAGCATATATGCTGACATTTTAATGACAAATCTCTCAATTTGTTGATCCTTCCTCAGTGTGAAACCTGCCTGTTTAGATGAACACAAAGCTCTTCCTCAACAGCTCTCAGTCTCTCTGTTCTTAGTTTTCTTGTCCAGGGCCCAGTTCAGAGTCTGCATTTTTCCTTTTCAAATATTTCTCCATCGCTGTTCCTCTTGTCACCTCAACCTCTCCCACACATCATTTCATTCTACTGTCTTAAATTAACAAGGTCATTATTGTGCTACCTACTGCCACCCACTGGCATGGAAGAGTATTTATTACTTATCCAGCCACTATATTCTAGGTTCAGACGCTCAACAATGGCAAAGTATTTGCAGCAACTAAATAATATTTTTCTCTCACAGCACACTGGTGTGCCGCGACACAGTGATTGAAAATCGTTTAAAAAGACTTAGTCTCACTCAGTTATGTAGAAACATAATAAACACATCTTTGAAAGACAGTGGCTTGGCTGGAGAGAGCGTGGTTATAGAATAGAACCGGTGTTTTGACATTAAAGCTCAGGCTGATCTCATTCCCTGTTCACTTATACTGTAATACTGATATGACCAATGTGAGCCAGGACGTGCAGGGCTGCCACTGTGGGAGTTAAGTGACGTGATACTAAAGAGCTCCACTTAGGGAGATCAGGGTGGATGGGTTGACAAACAGGACTTTCACCCAGGATACCACTGTTTGTGTCTTGTCTAACATAAAAAGTCAATGTTGACTTTTACTTTACTTTTGTGACATAGCTTATTTTATGTAACAAATGGAGTTATTCCCCAAACCACCATCTTTTCCAAAGCTGAACCAAGTACAACAGGTTCTGCAATGCAGGGGCACGAATTGTTGGCGGAAATTTGTAAGAGAACACACAAAAAATGAGAAATAACTTTTGGTAAGATATCATACCCGTTTAATTTGACTGATAAAGGAAGAGGAAGACTGAAAGCCAATCCTCTTGTTTTGAGTTGCTTTGACTACTGGATCTGTTCATGGTTTGAAGGTCACTAAAGATAAACTTCTGATCTCTCAGAGCAAGTTAGTCAAAGCCCATGTTGGCAAACAGCTGGGGAGCTTTGAAGGACAGAGCAGCAGCACAACTACAACTACAAGGTAGCAGATTGTTTGCAGAGTGAAATACATGGACACCTGTTCTTGTTGAAAACCTTGAAAAAATACGAACACCATTTTCAAAAGAAGGTCAAAGAAATACTTCGGGACAACCCGGACATGTAAGCTTATCATCCTTTCTACGTCTATTTTTTATTTGTGTTTTTATTTTTGACTTGATGATGATTAGGATGATATAGGTATTTATTGTACTGATTTGTTGGTCTGCATCTTTGCTATCTTTACATCAAGGACCACAGTGGAAATAAGCCTTTGACGTTATTGTGTTTTCCTCGACATTTCTGCTGTTGCATGTGACTTACACACCTTGTATGTGACAGAAAAGTGGCATACTTCTTTTCGGAACAAGGTCGATTTTTCTGAGCTTTCGCACTGCAAATAAAAGCAATAACATTGTGCTGAACGGAGTGGAGTTGCGCATATTCTGAAACATCAAAACAGAGGCTTTGAAGTCAGAGCCAAGATGGCAAACTTTATTACTCCTTTACCTTGACGAAGGCAACGAAGACCAGATCCACACTTTCCGTTCTTACCTTTCACAATAAAAGCCCGAGACATATATTATACGCAGGCAAGTATTTCACATTTTCCTGTTGTTTATTCATCACATCCCTGGTGGGTAAAGGCCTTCACTGTTCTTCCTCTCATAATGTGTAGAAAGCTCAAGTAAAAAGAGGAAGCTGTGTCATTTTAATGGGTACATACCCGAATGACTTCACGCTTTCATGCAGAGAGTTGAGAAGATTGATCCCACTCTCATGTCTGCACAGTACATTTGGAACTGGAGATCTCAGCGGCCTTTAGACTGGAAAAAGCTAGCTTGGCTCTGGTCATGGGTAACAAATTCCACGAACACCTCTGAAGCAGCTACTGGAATAACTTATTATATATTGTTTGTTTGATCTGCACAAGCTATTTTTTCAAATTCAAAATGTTGAACTGTTACTGTACCAAATAAAGACTTCAAAATGTTTAATGCTTTTTTATGTCATAACCAACACAAATCTTTGTGATACTGTTTTGTATAATTTAAGTAGAAGCAATGAACACGACCTTTTCAGGCGTATTGCTCTCCTGCACATTATCTCCCGTTGGTAGTCCATGTAAATTAAGCTTCTAAAGCTCGATCTATTCAGGAAATCCCATTGAGATCAACATCTCTTTTACAAAAGACTCCAGAGAACTAAATACATAAACACAAGATCACAAGAAAATGTATTGAAAGCAGTGTTCCCCTGTTAGAATGAGGAACTTTAAAAGCTAATTCGACCCTATGACGTGGTGACACCAGATCACACTATCAGAGTGACCTCTGACCTTTCCATGTAACACAGTGATGAGCGTGATAGCTATCTTGTGAAAGGAAAGGAATGCCTGAGACAGAGACCATGGTTTAAGGGTGATGGCAGCAGCATGAGCGTACAGGACATCCCCGTAATCCAGTAGAGTGCTGCAGGGATGATGTAATCTTGTAGGCCAACTAGGAAGTCAGCATCACACTGGTTCCCTGGACAAAAGGCCACTGGGATTTCTACATTGGATTCTGGATTATTGCAGTAAATAATCTCTGTGACAAACAAATGTTTATGATACTCACACGTTTTGTTCAGCAATCTAATCTTCTCAAATGAACGCCACTTTTATGATTATTGAAGCGTGAATGATATCGGCAGAAGTAAAAAGCTAACATTGGGCTATAAAGGAACTCCACTATGGTCACATGACTTCACGTCACCACCACGAAGCTAAAGGAGGACTGGTGTTCTCGTGAGGACGTTTAGTCGTCTCATTTAGACATTTGTTAGCAAGCGCCATTTACTAAGAAGCTTCAAAGCTTCAAAATTCACAAGAACGGTATTTACTGACAAATTCTATATATCGCAGAACAAACTGTTAAAATCTCTGCAGCTTGTGTTTAACCACAGACTTTATTTCAGGCATCTAATAAAAAAGACATTTAAAAACAAGGGAAACCCGAAGATCAAAATGCTGACTCATTTCGGGGTTTTAGGCATAGAAAATTTAAAAGAAGGAAGGCTCATTACGTCATCGTGACACCATTCTAATTTTGCAACCACTATGAAGGTCCACATTTATAAAAGGCATATCATATTTAGGGATTAGCGTCATTGCATGAAAATAACAGGGAAGATTATCAAGAGAGCTGGTTAACGTTAGCCCTCCTAAATATCAATAAACACTTTGATGGTTGGTTAGTTATTGGTAAAAACTATGCTCTATTACAATCAAATGTATCTAGGTGAGTTCTTTGACGTGACGTGAACCTTCTTTTATATATCAATTGGTTTTAGGACTCATTCCTGCAGCTCTCTATGGAGACAGTATGGTGGATTGTTTATGGTTCTTTTTCGTTTTCAGTGAAAGAATCAAATCAGAACTTTTTATTTTTCAAGATGTTCAGCATGTGCAAATATCTAATTATGGTGGAAATATATTTATATGTCTTTGATTTAAGCCTGTGCAAATAAATGCAACCCAAACTTAACTGACTTGGCCCCAAAGCCAATACACAGCTCTGCTTAAATCAAACAGATCAATCAAAGGAATTCATTAAAAATACATAAAGCAATCTCATCTTAATGTTCATAATGTTTAGCTCATAAAAACTCATAAAAACTATTCAGGTTTAAAAAACAACAACTTTTTTACCAAAAAAAACATTGGATCCCTGTGTCCATCTGACCCACTTAACGCACGTCCCTCGCGACTGTTATTTGTCATGAAAGCAGCTCCCAGCGAGCTGCCTTCCTTCGCCGGGGCGTCCCACGTGCCGTTCCACGCAGCAGAACCTCTGAGTGACGGACCAGACGGCCCGCCTCCATCCCACCACAACCGACCAATGAGGCTGCAGAGCGGAGACGAGCCTTCAGCAGCAGCCTCTTATTTCTCACTACAGTAGACTAGCCCTGTAACGCACACTGGTAGTCATGTGACGGTCATATAGTACAACTCAGTCAGCGCTCAGTCCAGTCTGAACGCTGCTGCTGCTGCTGCTGCTGCTGCTGCTGCATGGCGAGTCTCAAGGGCAATAGCTGCTCTGGCAATATACTGCCGCGTCGGATGCAACAAACATTTCTCCCCGCGCCTTTTGCATTGGGATTATATTGCTTTTAATTGAACAAGGTAAGGGGATATTTTTTATGGAACGGTGGGTGTCAGGGGTGCAGGGTGCGCGTGTGTGCCATATGCTGCAGGAGGCTGGACGAAAACATGTTTACGTTGAGCGCGGAGACGCGCGTCTACTCGTGCGTTATGCTCCGCGGGGGGACGGGCAAGAAAACATGACACACTGTCCGATGTTGATGGACTATTTTTGCGGGATTCGGGTTCCGCTCGGCCGCAGTATAACAGTAGATTGCAGTTAATTTTGAATGAGTTTTGGTTTCCTGCACGCAGATGCGCATGTGATTTCTATAAGTTCTCCGCCTGCTAAATCTGACGGTGCTAATGGTTATAATTGTAATTATTATCTTGGATATGCTTAAAAAATACGACATTTAGTTGAGTTAGTTACAAACACGGGGCTCTGGCTGTGCAAGATTGTAGAAATCAGTCATATCCTCTCTAGGAACATGTGAAATGAATCCAAATATGCCCCGCAGGAGGCGACAATAACGCAGCGAGCCTGCACGTTGTAATGATAAATCTAATGACTGACTATAAAAAAAAAAATCTTCCCGTCTTCAGAGGCAGCGGTGTGACTGATTTACTGCCCTTTAATTATCCCGTAAACAAGCAGAGCATGTGATTTACGCACACTGCTCCCGGCTGCCCCGTGCGGTGTTTTCTGATAATAATGTTGACAGTTTTTTTATTTTTTTTCCTGTGGCTGGGTTTACTCTCGGTCACTCAGACCATGCAGGGGCCCCTGGATAGGGTGGGTGGATAGAGGCGGGAGGGGACTGAGAATAACCTCGGCCAATTTGGACTTTATACAAACAAATGATTAATATACTCATGTTATTAAACCCAAGTGGAAAGCAAAATATGATGAGGTTATTGAACGATAACACTGTTATGATATCATAGGTGATTAATACAAGCATGTAGTAGGCCGACAGTAGATGGAAAAAAAAGCTGACTCTGTATCATTTCTGTAATGTCATGAAGTTATTTTTCCACTGTGCTGTGTCACTGATATTGTCAGGTGCTGCTCCTATGACAGTCAAAAAAAACTATCAACTTGCAAGTCTAAAATACATTTTAGGATTTGCATACACAAGTAGCAAATAGGCAGATGCATTGGAGGACACATTTTCAGTATGTAATCACCTGATGCTCTTAGTTTAAAGTCAGGAACTGTCCTTTTTGAATTTGAGCAGTATATGCACTCATGGGATTAAGTCTGACACACTTCTCTCTGTCTCTCTGTTTATTTCTATTTAGACACACTGTATCCCGGCTGGAGACCTTGGATTGTAAAAGTGTTTCTGCGACGCCTACTTTTTCCACCCTGAGAGAGAAACACCAGGTGTTTCGATATCTCCCCCGAGTGGGAAGTGTGGCCTCGGTGACCTGGGTTTGTATGGCCTAACTTTTCCAGAAGCAGAAGGAATATTTTTTTTTACAAATCATCCTAACCACAGACTCCAACAAGAGACGACCGATTGGCACTGTCCAGGGATGGTGGACAACTTCCCAGTTAGCGAGGGGATTTTTCTACCTTACAGTGGCTCGTCGCAGGTCTACCGGCTGTCTGACATGGTGACAGACCTGAGCTCCTACCAGGTGATGCCGTCACCGTTTTCGGAGGATGACCGGAGCGAGTCGTCCAGCCCTCGTTCCTGTTCCAGCCCCGACTCCCAGGTGCTTAGCTCCAGCTACGGCAGCAACTCTAGTGCTGAGAGCCATGACAGCATCCTGGATCACCTGCTGTCACAGGCCTCTTTAGGGGGTGCCAACAGTGTGCTGGCAGGGTCTGTTGCACCTGTGCCATTATCCACTTTCTTCTGGGACTCACAGAGAGATGAGCCGCCCAGACGCCAGCCTGTGAAGGAGGAACATTTTGACTTCCTATCCTGGGCCAATGCTGAGACAGAGGAACAACTTGGAGGGTGCTTCCAGCCCACACTGGAAGAGATCGAAGAATTCCTGGAGGAAAATATGGAGGTGGTAACGATGAAGCAGGAATTCCGAGAGGGTTGTGCGGGATTGGGAGTGGGACTGGAGGAGGCCCTTGGTCTAGAATTTGGCTTGGAGTGGTGCAGGGAAGCCTCCCCTGAGCCTAAGCCAGAGCCAGAGGCCAAGTATTCAGACCAAACTGTCCCTACCGCCAGCACTGCTGGCCTGTCCACTGCTGCCTCCAGCAAGACCAAAACTACATCAGTTAGGCCCACACATGAATCCAGCACAGGGGCCAAGAAAGCGTCAGCCAACAAACCTTCATCAGCAGACAGTGGAACAAACGGTAGCGGGATGCCAGGTGTCCAACTGATTCAGCCCCTTCAGATCAAGCAGGAGCCCACGGTAGCGCCTATTACCCCTATGGCCCAGCCCCCACTGCCTGCCCCAGCCTCAGACATCAAAATTGCACAGCTACTGGTCAACATCCAAGGTCAGACCTTTGCCCTGGTGCCCCACATCCTGCCCTCCACCAGCCTTAACGTCTCCTCCAAGTTTGTACGCATTGCTCCCGTCCCCATTGCGGCCAAGCCGCTCGGGCTCGGGGACAGCTCAGCCGGCCAGGGCTCAGGGATTCTTGTTGGAGGTCAAAAGTTCCAGAAGAACCCGGTGGCGGATCTTATCAAAATGCACAAATGCACTTTCCCTGGCTGCACCAAGATGTACACCAAGAGCAGCCACCTGAAGGCCCACCTGAGGAGGCACACGGGGGAAAAGCCTTTTGCATGCAACTGGCAGGGCTGTGGATGGAGGTGGGTACTAGTGTTGACTGACTGGATTAATGTATTTCTTGTTACATTGGACCATGTTGACGTCAAACATTCACCTCACAAGACAGAATGGTCTATGCCCCTTTAAAATGGCCATATTTGAACCCTACTGCTTTTTATTTTATTATTTTATTATTATCTTACCAGATTAGACTCATATTTATGACTGGTTATATAAAGCCTGTTTGAAAGGTTTGTTTATTCACAGGACTGGGCAATAACAGCATGCGCCTGCATGATTTAAAAGGGCTTAACCCCCATTAGTTTGCGTGGCCTTTTTGGAAGCAGCAGTAATTATATGTCAGTGGGGCATGTCTATGTGCTGTGCATGGTGTCATGTTGCTCCATAGTGTGTTGCAGATTGTAACTGTCACTTGAACTGACCTGTCTCTGTGTGGGTCATAGTAGCACTGATGAGGGGACTTAGAGGATATGGAGAGCAAATCCCCCCCCCCCCACACACACACACACTAGCAAAGCTCCAAGCAACTAAAATGAGAGAACAACATGAATGTCATTATTCGTAAGAGGGATCATTACCATGGAAGCCACATGCTGCACAGACAGTATGCTCACAGTTATTCAAGGATCTGTAATAGAAAAGCCAAGCAATGTTTTCTTTTCTCCGAGCCCTGGAGCTGAATACATCTTAATGGCTGTCATGCAGTCTCCCAAGTGTTAATTGGAATGATGTGATGCGGTGGCAATAGCAACGGTTGCAAAATCACACTTCTTGTCAGGCAGTGAGAGATCTGTGCAAGAATAGCTGGGGTGTCTTTCTTTGAGGATGCAAACTAAATCTGGTACGGAGCATGTGGGCTTCAGTCACATGAGCACAACATGGGCACCTCCTGTTGAGGCTCGACAGCTGTGCGGTTGCTGGGGCAGTGCAAGTGTGTGTGTGTATTTGTGTACGCTAAGTATGAAGCAGCCAGATCTAATTTGGAACCTGCTGTGTGTAATGGAGAAAGGCAGAGGGAGAACTTGGATGTCTTCATCAGCAAGGCAATTTCTCTGCTCATTAAAGTAAGGGCCTTTTTATATCATCAGTCTCAAAGTGTGTGCGTGTGTTTATGCGTGTGTGTGATAGAGTGTGACTTGAGCCCAGAGTTGCCAGAGTTGAGCTGGCTGTTTTCCTGAGGACATCATGTCAGACAGTGAGAGTTCCCTCTGCTGGTGCCGTTTTTGCAAAGACAACCATTTCACTCTCATTTTCTTCAGAGCCTTGCAACTACCAACTATGGGTGGGAGGTGCGGTCCAACAAACAAGATTTTCACTTTATGTCCTGCTTCAAACAAAAATTAAACATTGAGTTAATGCTCCCATTCCATTAAATTGTTCCGTTAAGTTGTTCCGTTAAGTTTTTCCGTTAATTTGTTCTGTTAGGTTGTTCCGTTAAGTTGTTCTGTTAAGTTCTTCGTTAACTTGTTCTGTTAGGTTGTTCCGTTATATTGTTCCGTTAAGTGGTTCAGTAACATTACGTTGTTACGTTACATTATGTGGTTGCGTTGCGTGGTTACGTTGCCTGGTTACATGACGCTGCCTTGTTGCGTGGTTACGTTGTTACATTACGTCGTTACGTTGCATCGTTACCTTGCTACATTGCGTCGTTACATTGCGTCGTCACGTTGCGTCGTTACATTGTTACGTTGTTACATCGTTACGTCGTTACGTCGTTACGTCGTTACATCGTTACGTTGTTACATTGTGACGTTATGTCGTTACATTGCGTTGTTACGTTATGTTGTTACTAGTGGTGTAACGGTTCGGATCACCCCTCACAGTTCGGATCACCCGTCATGGTTCAAAATATATTTAAAGTGCTTAAACCACGCTATGAAATCCCCTCACACACCCACGTCAGTATGAAGATAGTTCCTCTATGAAAAGGAAAAGACTGGGACAGCTCACTTCATCATGGCTGAGTAGAGATTCAAAGTCTGGTGCTGCAGACACGCCCCCTCTGTGAGAGTCACACAGACACACATCTGGCGCTACCCTTTCCCCAGATAATGTAGATATTCTCATCTTTTTATGTTAAATATTGTGGTTTTCATTGAAGAATATAGCCCAAAGTTATTTGCTTTAAGTGTTCTTGATCAGTTTATTTTCACATTCTGGGTTAATTCTGGAATATGGTCTACTCCACAGCAACAGCAGCTAAAGCTCATGGTTGTTGTTGCATTGAGTCATTTGTTATAAACTAATGCACAGAACTGTAAAAGAAAACTGTGAAATGGGAGTTGCCTGCAGGGAAAATACTTCCAGAATCAGCAGTTTATTATTTTATCGCATTATTATTCTCATTTTATGCAGTTAAATTAAATGAGTGGTGAGTTAGCCTGTATATAAACCATTACTTAATGAATAAGGAGCAATATGAAACCTGGCACCAGACCATTGGGCGGCCACTGCTCTAAACGCTCCACACACACACACACACACACACACACACACACACACACACACACACTCAGAACTAAGACCTGCCACTCAGTGACAAGTACTGACATGGTGTGTGTGTTTTTCATGTGCTTTGCATGTGTGCATTGGCCTATCCATATGGAATGCTTACATTTACCTGCGTGAACACATTAGTCAAAACCAACCAAGCCAGCGTACCGTTATGTAATTTGGCCTCTAGCTGCCACAGCTTGCAGAGATTAGTCATGGAGGAGCCTCCTCTTTCAAACATCCACTCATTGATAAACCCCCAGTTTGCATTCATGTACTGAGTGATCAATAATATCCCTTAAAAGCTTTGTGATGGGCTATTTGACCATAGTACCAAGCTGGTAACCCGCCACCACTCATGTACTGTAGTTGTAATGCTCTGCGCGTCCTAACAAATGAGTGGAGTCGCAGAAATTTGTGCAGTAGTAATCCAGGCTGTGTGTTCCCACTAACAAAGGGCTCTTGTCTATGCACAAAGGGCAGGATGTAGTTTGGATGAAAGTGTGTGCGAGAACCTGTGTGTGTGTGTGTGTGTGTGTGTGTGTGTGTGTGTGTGTGTGTGTGATGGGATAAATGAGGGGGCCGACCAAAGGAGAAAAAAGAAAAAAAAAGTTGATAATGTTGCGAAAGAAGCAAGCAAATGGACGAGGAGCGGAAAGTAACTGAGATTTGTTTTAAAGAAGACAGGAGAAAAGGCGCTGGTGGTGATGGTGGCATATAGGGGGGAGTTGAGAGAGGCTGATAGAAGGGGAGAAAAAAGGCCTGTTTCAGTTTTGCACACAATCACTTGAAGGGAGCAGCAGTGAGGAAGTGGAACGAACAAAGACAAAGTGTTGAATAGTTACCATGACTGTGGGCTAGGAACGTCCAGGCTGCCGCGCTGCATGAAAGGGAAGAGAGGGATCGGTCAAGGTTCCCTCACATGGACTGGGAGGGACAGGGAGGGAACGGCTGGATGGAAAGATGCAGTGAGCGCGGTATTGTATATTCAAAATGTACAGGTCCAGGTAGACCAATTTAACTAAAATATCTAATTTCACATTCTTAGTACAATGTTTTGCTGGCCGGCTTAGGTCTTAGTATTGTAAGAACATAGACACCAGAACCATCCTCATGTCCCCAGTGCTACCCTGTTATATGCTTAGGACTTTAGCACGACATATTTACTTTGGAATATGCATCATTTGTGCAATATAAACTACTATAATTAAGTCATAGATGTAAAAAATTGTGATCCCTGTACAAACAAATCACAACTGAAATGCAGTGTAAGTGGCGCTGTGGGCTGGGGCACCGAGACGATTCAACATGTTTGCGCAGTTGGTTATCCAGCCTTCAGCACAGCAGATACCAGAGGTGTGAACTAGAGTCGCATGATGATTTGGACTCCAGTCAGACTCCAGTCACACATTTGATGACTTTAGGCTCGACTTGATACAATCATAAGAGACTTGCAACTGGACTTGGACTTCAACGGCAGTGACTTGTGACTTCCCTTGGACTTGAGACTTTTGACTTGGAATTATTTGATAACTTCCCCCAAGCTCCAAAGATTAAAAAGTACGTTATTTAAAAAGTGTGCCACGAATTAATTAATTTCCTGAATCAACTTAACACTATCTATTCAAGTGGACACCTAATTCCCACAATTTTTTTTTTATGATTGAAGTTTAGTCATACTTGTCTTAACAAACTTGTTTTCACAAAATAAATTCAAAAAGCATTCATGATTTATATAAATTTGATATATTATTACTCTGTTGTTAAAATAGCATTACATTTGACTTGTTAAGGACTCAAAACTCAAAGTTTAGTGCTTGGTACTTGACATGGAACTTGCCTGTCTTGACTTGGGTTTTGGGTGCAAGGACTTGGGACTTACCTGGGACTTGTGAAACAATGACTTGGTCCCGCCTCTGGCAGATACAGCCACGTCTCATTTGAGGGAATCACTTTGTGATCAGCAACTTATTCACTCTTCTTTCAAGAAGTGATTTTAAAGCTGGGGTTTGTAATCTTCTTCAAAAACAATTTTGTTATATATCTTGAAATTCTCATAACATTCCGACAACAAATCAATACATCAAATGCTCTGACAAAAAAAGAAAAGAAAAAAGAAATCTGTTAACTGGCTATCGCAGGACTGTCATTAGCTCGTCCAATTATTTAATTCGGCCCGTTCACACGTGGTGCGTAACCAGAGTCTTTCACAAGCTGCTAGCTTGACAGCTATGAATACTAACAATAGCCTTGTTCATTGTTTGCATTCATTATTATATGTTTACGTTCATAATGATCATTTTGGGGGAGTGGCCTGGGAGGGAGGCCTGAAGGGATGTGCTGTCAGTGTTGCCGACTTGGCGAACTTCTTGCTAGATTTAGCGACTTTTGAAGCTAGTGCTGCTACTTTGATTGGAAAAGAGTCAGCACCGCATGGAGATATTCACTGAGCAATTCTAAATTCATTTCGATGTTATAACTGTGGGGTTCATATTTTTGCTTCATAGAGAGCATGGTATTGTGGAGCCCAGGCAGTGCTGCTCAACTCTTTCAGGCTGACTGTTGGAGGAATGAAGCTGGGGACTCCCTGGGGGAGCAATGTGCCAGGCACGGGATGAAGAGTGAATATGTAAAATAGTACAATAATGTCAGCTTAACATCAGACTTCAGAGTGGCAGTGACGGTGTTACTGTTTATACAATAAGACCATCTATAGAAACAACATAAAAACTGTTTGTAGATCAGTTTGGCATCACTGGGAGACATGAATTATATGAAACATTTGTTTGAAGCCGTTAGCCTCTTTTGTGCCTGAAATTTCATCCCATGTCCGTCGTGCGGTGATGATGCCGAACTATACATATCCTGCCCAGGGGCGTTTCTAGGATTCCAAGAAAGGGGGGGCTTTGCCCCAAGGAGAGTGGCATGTTTGGGGCCGCGGATATACATTGTTTCAGACAGTTCATAGATCAATCCTAGTGCCCGGGGTTTATATCGTTAAGTATGATGATAGGCTATTGCAGTGGTATTCAACTAAAATTCCAAAAGGTCCAGAATGAGAAAATGTCCTCGGGCAAAGGTCCGGAACATTACAATAATATCTAACTCGCGTTATTTAGTGCCATATATATATATATAAATATATTCAAGAAGCCTAGTAGTAGTAAGAACGTCTCTGTGTAGTCAACAACTGTCAACTCAAATAAAGAAAGTACACATCAATTATATTTTAACAATTATTATTCTCACTTTTCAAATTTAACTGGATGGATTATAAATAATACATAGAAATACATATTTAAATGTTCTCCTCTTTTCAAGTAAAATAATGTCTGGATTAAAGAATAACTGATATAACAGAAAGCTTTTGAAGAATGTGCATCTTAATAAAATAAAGTAATTCATTTTAGAAAAATTAATTTCTCTGAATTGTCCTGCAGCTTTAAATTCAGTTCAGTCAGGTGTGAAGTGATGTCAATAAAAAGCCACGATATTTTATTTTTGTCATTTAAAAAGATAAATCAGTGAGCATGGACTTTATCTGTGGTTATTAAACCACTTGTTTCAGCTCTATTCTCTCTGTTTACATCATTGTTGGTCAGTGAACTAATGTGTTAGGATTCTGATCATATTGGGCTCTTAGGTTTATTTTCTGTGTCTTCATTTAAGATGTGAGAGGGTACGTTTGTTCAAAAGAGTTGTGCTTTGCCTCGTAGTGCGCTTCATTTGCCGCTTTTATCAATAGTTACGGTTTCTGAACATATGAGACATGCTGGTTCTAACTGCCTGTGGGAACAATTAACATATAAGATTCTGTTCATTTTTGCTTATAAATTCTATTCTCTCTGAACACGTTTCTCTTTTTGGAGAACGTCATGTGAGATTACTTCTTCGATTAGCGCAATTTCCCTGCTCTTCTTTCTCTCTCCTCGTCTTAGCCCCGTGTGTCACGGTGTGTGTAAACCGCGCTCGAGTCAGGAAACTTGTCAGAATACCCATATTTGATTGTCTGAGCTGCATCACGTGATGTGATTTACAACGCATTGGTCGGTGTGTTTCCTGCATCGTTGAACAAGTGCATTAACGGCTGAATAAGAAGCGCCGGTTAAAGTATAAACTCATTGCCTAATATGTATAATTTCGAATTATCTATCGGTTTTAGGTCCTGGGTCCGGATGCAACTGCGTCTGGGTCCAGATCTGGATCCGGACCGCGGTCTGCCAGTTGGGGACCCCTGGGCTAATGGATTGTAATTTGAAGGGGGAGAAAACATATAAACCAGAATGCACGCACATCTGTAGCATGTTACAGTTTTAAATAACTTGTCCATGTGAGAAACAATAGTTTAATTTAATGACATCACCAAAATAAAAAAATAAAAAATATATATATATATATTTTTTTTAAAGCCAACAATGCCAAATTATTTGGGGGGGCTGAAGAACATTTTAGGGGGGCTTCAGCCTAACGACGCCCCTGATCTTGCACATACATATATGTGTTGGTTCCCATGGGATCACATTGGACCAATGGTCTCCTAGTTGGAAGATGTACCTCTTTCAAATAACTGCTTCATCTACCCAAGTCACTGTGTACACTTAATCAGCATGTTTTTACTCTTAAGTTTGGGGCAGGTGTTTCTGGAATAGTTGTATTCACTGTCTCCCTGAATAAACCCTGTCAGATGTCGCATGCTGCATTTTAATCATGTCTTATTAGTGCAGGAGCATTACTTTCATTACTTTTGCTCCTGAGCTTGTTGCATCTACGCTACGAATTTATTTTAATTTTATTTGTTTTACTGCAGCTCCTTATGTGTTGCGACCTAATTACAGGGTGCGATCGTATCGATTCATCATCTTGTCAGGTCAGCAGAGCAACATCTGGGATGCAGAGCCTGGCAGGGAACAGCCAGTTTCAGAGAACTAGGTTGCTGGGAAGAAGCCCCCGTAGCTGCCATCGCCTCATATGCTGGTCTAAATGAGTTACAGGCAAAGGAGTTGTAGCATCAACATGTGGAGCATTCGTGCTCATGACAGATAATTGCTCTATGGGGCTCTGGGTTGTGTACATGTTGTGAAAAACAGAGAGTTGCTAGAGCTAAATAGAAAACAACAGCGCGAGGGCGGCGGGAAAGATCAAGGTTTTCATCTCTGATTGCATCACGCGCTAGAGGCACTTGCTCAAGTTTGGCACTGTTGAATATCCCCAGAACACAAAGGGATGTTTGCTCTAAGGGTAAATGTTTTTTGTCAGATCCATTGGCATTGTTTGTTCAGAGGAGCCAAGAAGAATCGTTTCCTTAATGAACAGATTCTGGATGTATTATGCAACTGGTTTTTAGTGTGATCATCTTTGCCGGAGGAGCGCACACGCCTGAGACAAACCGCTAAAGTAGGGCTTCGCTTATCAACAACTTTCTCAAGAGGGTGGGACAAAGTCATTGTTTTGCAAATCACAAGCAAGTCTTGGCTGAAGGTGATGAATCATGTGCCAAGTCCTAAACTTTGTGTTTCATGTTTGAAAGGTCCCATACTGTAGAAAATGAGATGTCCATGTCTTTTCTTTTTATTATAAAATTATAAAATTATCCAATTTTGGTAATGTGCTGGTTTCCCTCTTGCCCGTGCAACATGATTAGCTGCTGTCAAATTGAGTTAAAGTATATCCGTTGTCAGGAGAAATGTTGAAAGCATTTTAATGACATCAATTTTAACATTTCATAATGCTTGTCTTTATTGACTGACGATTTTGTCAAGTTATGTCTGAGGTCATCAGATTTGTGACTCGAGTCCACGTCATGTGACGTGAGTCCACATCTCTGACTTTCTCCACCTGACTTTCTCCACTTGCCGAACATTCAAACATTGCTTCCTCTTCTTCTCTCAGGTTTTCCCGGTCCGACGAGCTGTCTCGACACCGGCGCTCCCACTCAGGTGTCAAGCCCTACCAGTGTCCGGTTTGTGAGAAGAGGTTCGCCCGCAGCGACCACCTGTCAAAACACATCAAAGTCCACCGTTTCCCACGGAACAGCCGGACAGTTCGCACAGCAAACTGATGCTGGGATCGCTGGGAATGCTGGGATCACTCTCATACGGACATAGGCCGCCGGCGCACGGTGCAAGTCTGAACGCACAGATCTTTTTAGCGCAAATGTTTGCGTCATTATCAAGTCAGTTTGATTATGTGAGTGGAAGCATGCCTCACTTTTTGTTTCAGCAGTCTGCGATTGTCCTAATTTATTGTTACCAGTTACCATCCTGTCTGTGATCAGCTGAAGGTTGTCGTTGCTGTTGGTGCTTTGGTATGTTGTACTCCTTATGTTTGTTCGGTCCTTATCGCCTGCCTCCGCAGAAGATAAGATAAGCTTATTTTCATCCTGTCTGGATTATGTGATATCTTTGGTCCACGCGACCTGGATCAAAACAACTGCCTTTTATCTTCCTTAAAGTTGCCAACGTCTTGGACATTCCTCATCTTATGCAATGTTTAGGAAGTCAGAGGAAGATCATTGGGATCCTCATTAGCTACAACCAGTATAGTCTTTCATTGACAGTGCAGTTGATGCACAGGGAGAGACCTGTGAAATCTCGCCATAATCTACCTGGGTTCTGCGCTGTCTTTTTCTTTCCATACATCAATTCTATTGGTCACCTGTTACATCTGTCTGTGGGTTTTACAAATATTTAACCAATGAAAAGTGTTAAAAAGGGCTTGTGAATACATTTCGTAAGTCAATCTGATCCTCAAACTACCGGCAAAAACCTCATAGCTCCACCCAGCCTCGTGCTTGAATAGAGTGTCGCTCACAGCAGAGCCGAAAGAAAACAGCGACGTTGCGATTTTAAAACAAGCTGCACTGGAAGCAGAGCAACTGACAGTAGCTGTGCAATGAGAAAATAACATAATGGGAAAAATATTTTTATGAATTATAATACCATCCATCCATCCATTTTCCTCCGCTTATCCGGGGTCGGGTCGCGGTGGCAACAGGCCAAGCAGGCTGACCCAGACTTCCCTCTCACCGGCAACATGTTCCAGCTCATTCTGGGGGATCCCGAGGCGTTCCTAGGCCAGCTGGGAGATGTAATCCCTCCAGCGTGTTCTGGATCTTCCCCGGGGTCTCTTCCCAGTTGGACGTGCCTGGAAAACCTCCAGTGGGAGGCGTCCAGGAGGCATCCTAATTAGATGCCCGAACCACCTCAGCTGACTCCTTTCGACGTGAAGGAGTAGTGGCTCGACTCCAAGCTCCCTCCTGATGACCGAGCTCCTTACCCTATCTCTAAGGCTGAGCCCGGCCACCCTACGGAGGAAACTCATTTCGGCCGCTTGTAGCCGCGACCTTGTCCTTTCGGTCACGACCCAGAGTTCGTGACCGTAGGTGAGGGTAGGAACGTAGACCGAGTGGTAAATTGAGAGCTTTGCCTTCTGGCTCAGCTCCCTCTTCACCAAGACGGTCCGGTGCAGCGCCTGCTTTACTGCTGCAGCCGCACCAATCCGTCTATCGATCTCCCGCTCCATCTTACCCTCACTCGTGAACAAGACCCCGAGATACTTGAACTCCTTTGCTTGAGGTAGGCACTCCGTGCCCACCTGGAGGGAGCAATCCACCGGTTTCTGGCAGAGCAGCATAGCCTCAGATTTGGAGGTGCTATCTCTCATCCCCGCCGCTTCACACTCGGCTGCAAACCGCCCCAGTGAATGCTGGAGGTCACGATCCGAGGAGGCTAACAGGACCACATCATCTGCAAACAGCAGAGAGGCGATCCCGAGACCCCCAAACCTGACGTTCTCCATCCCCCGGCTGCACCTAGATATCCTGTCCGTGAAAGTCACGAACAGGACCGGAGACAAAGGGCAGCCCTGGCGGAGGCCAACACCCACCGGGAACGTGTCTGACTTATTGCCGAGAATGCGGACACAGCTCCTACTGCAGTCGTACAGAGACCGGATCGCCCGTTGTAATGGGTCCGGCACCCCATACTCCCGCAGCACCCCCCACAAGAACCCCCGAGGGACCCGGTCGAAAGCCTTCTCCAAGTCCACAAAGCACATGTAGACTGGTTGGGCAAACTCCCAGAACCCCTCCAGTAGTCTTGCGAGGGTAAAGAGCTGGATTATAATAGAATTATAATACATGTAGTGTATTTAAGAAAAATGATTAAATTATGAAATAGCTATAACTTTGTGATTCTGTTTAGGCCAGCAGAGAAGGCCCTGACGGCCCACCACTGGATTTAACTCTGATGTTAAACTCTTGATTTGAGATCTAAATGTTTGCTAAGGAGACTAGTGTAGCTAGCTACCAATGTGACCTCAGCGGCTGAGCGGTCGTTCTGATCAGTGACGGACAAAACACGTATTTCCACATTCGCTGGTCGATAAAGCTAGCTGCTCCATTCGAGCTTGATTTGTGGTAAGATATGAATAGTTGCACATGCAAGTATCTGACCATACATAAAGACACAATACTAACTTTGACAACGCAACGTGCAATTATTTTGAAAACAGGCGTTTTTTTCATTTCCTGAAAACAAATGGGTTTAAACATACGTGGTTTCCACCTGACGACAATTTTTACAATGACTTTGTAAACCTGTTGTGACACGAGGAACAGAAATCCAGACGTGAAATGCAACTAAAAGGGTTAAGTGCACAGTGATTGTTGAATCGGCCTTGTGATCAGTGTTAAATGATCTTTGTTTTGTTGTTTGATGAAGTCGTGTGTGTCCACTTGCTGGTCTTCTATTTGTGTTGCTTCTTTGGCCTTACTGTACCACGGAATCCTTACAGGAGAGCCAAACCATATGGGGAACCAGGCTTTTCAGTGATCCATATTTTAATGGGGTGTTGAAGTGACTGTTCATAATATGGCTTGCGACAGTCGCTGCATAGCCATGGAGCTGAACGTCTCAGTCTGCTATTATCATTTAGACTATTATTTTGCTGACGACTTGACACAAAATCTGCCTCAAATCTGCTTTATATGTTACTGAGACACCCTGACAGCCTTTGACCTCAGCCGGCCGTTACTTTGAGGTGACATCGATGGACACACTATGGTGCTGAACTATCCGGACGATGTGCTCCTGGGAAATGAAGTCACATCATCCCTCCTGAAGCCACGACACACTTTGTAATTGCTCTGGTACAGTGTTTGCTACGTGTACCCCGCGGTGAATATGTAGGGGTTGTGACAATGCCGTCCACGTGTAATTCATGCATGTAAAGCAACAACAAGCGGGGAGAGGGCGGGGGGGGGTACGCAATGTTGTGCATCATTCCTTTCATTCAATTTTTGAATTTTTAATGCTTGTGTGAACACAGGTGTTTTATCGCATCCTATGAATGTATGTAAATATGCAGGAGTGTACATTATGGCATCCAGGAAACACGACTCTGATACCATATTTTAAAACAAATCAGTGGTTGTGAAGATTTCTAGCGTGAACCCTAAATGTGTACATAACTTAATGTTTCAGTACATATGAATATATTATATATTTTTTCTTTGTTCTATCCAAGGTGCATTTACAAATAAAACTGAAAAGAAACAAACATGTCTATGTTGTCTTTAGTAAGTTGTATATTGACATTGAGTTGCATAGTTCTTTTGCAGACGGAGGTTCTGAGGGTGAACCCCTCATCCATCCACACCTGTTTCATCATTGAGAAAGTTTATCAGCCTCTAAATATATATATATATATATATATAATATAACAAAATATTTTGAAGAGAGACAGGTGACTAGATGCTCTGTGTACTCAAACGTACATCAAAAATGTGTTGACAAGCCAGGCACTCCAAAATCTTATTTTGGAAATATTATAAAGCCTTTATTATAGAGGCTACATCAATAAAAAAAAACATGTTTCAACCACTGTCGGTCTTCGTCAAGTCTTTTAACAAACAAACCAACCATGACCTGGATAATTAAAAGGAAATTAAAATGGAAATTGAACGACACGAAAAATTGTAAGTCATTTAGCAAGCAATGAAAAGGCCATCCTTTCTTTTTGCCATTGTCATTTTACGTCATGTAGTCTGTATTGACTGCAATGTAACGCTCAGAGCTAGTGACGTAGTATAAAAAGTGAGGAAGACTACTTATTGAGGGTGGAAGGGGAGGCAAATGGGTCAAACAAATACAGGACTTTCAACCATGCATCAACGTGTAAACAGCATTTTACTGTTGCAGCTGCTGGAGGAGGAGCTAGTTTGAACTACTTTATAGACAGTTAGGTAGTGTATGTAGTCCAGTGGTTCCCAGTTTAAGAGTCACAAGATAAATCTGAGGGGTTGTGAAATAATTAATGGGAGAGGAAAGTTGGGCTCCAACTACACACCGGTTTCAAATCACAGGCCCAAAATGTTGGAAATGACTGGTTGAAGCTGAATAATCCATTGTATTTTATAAGCTCTCTGTGTTTTTATGTCAAATCTTGATCTGAAAAGCAACTAGGAACTGTATCTGTTGAACAGATGTAGGGTCGTAAATGAGCTATTTTTAAAGGGGGGTTAAAGTTTACAGTAAGGGGTAGATTTCCATCGATCTTTGGTTCAATCATATATTTGAACTAAAAAGCTAAAAAGCTTGCATTCATGAATGTTTAATGTACTATTTTTGTGAATTTATACCAGAGGTATCATGTTGGTAAAGTAAGAATTCAAATGCTGTGCCACAAGTCTGCAAAACAGACCTACTGTATATTTTAGGCCTCTGCTCGAAAATTGCATACCCATACTAAAAAGAGTATATCTCTGCAACCACAAGGTCTATTTGAATAATTTTGGTGGTATAATAAAGGGAACACTTGTGAGATTTGTTCAGATGTGTAAATACCAGGATATATGTTACTGGTTAAGAGTAAATGAAGATGGGACACTTGAAAATTGAAAAGTTTCAGGTTCGCCTAAAAAAAAGAAGCACTTACAGGATTAATATTTCTTTGGAATGATGCAGCTGCAGGTCTAAACCTCTCCCAAATCATAGCACAATATGTGAACAGTCTCTGCAAAATGTGACTCTGATAAAGTGAAGCAGAACAAAATTAGAGAGGTTTTAGTACAGACAGTTCAGGCGAGATCTCCAAAATGGTCATTTTGGCACCATCTGTACCATTTGAATTTTCTCATGTACCAAACTATATATTTCACTTGTATATCACTAATGGTGTTCAATACATCCAAATACAGCAGTTTTAGCTTCATTTTGAAAGCCAGAATCCTTTCGGAACCCTCTGTGTCTCTCTGCGTACTGGAGTTTTTCTCGATGTGAGACCCCTGTAAGTACGCAGGGCTCTATCTCAGCAACCCATTGGTCGATTTCAGTGATTGACACCTCATTTGAAGCGTTAGAGCCAATAGAATTTAGCTATACCAACCAAAATGAGATTGACAGCACTGTTAGCCAATCAGAACCAGCGGGGCGCCGTCCTGTGAGACGTGCTGGCTATGAAGCAAGGCGATTCTCAGACCCACAGCCACCTAGAAACGCCGGAATGATTTTAGTGTAACACAGGACGTAGCTCTAACATATTTCAGTGTGGAATTACTGGGAAAATAAACATATCGATGAAAAACCGCAAAGGTAAAAGACATTTTACAACTATCGTTTGATGAAGCGATTTCTGTTGTTGGTGTTCTTTGGCTCATATCTCGCTGATGCTTTGTTGTAGCTGGATTTGATATGTAGGTATATGTCCGGAATCTGTTGAGTGTCTGCTTTCTTTTGAGATATCGTGTGTGCGTATTGCATAAAATACCACAGCGGTAGAGCCAGAAATGTGCCGAGTGGGTTGACTAGGTGGCGCATTATGGATTTTGATATTTGGTAATTAATTTAGTTGTTTGAGTTGTTTGGAGCATGTAAAAATGGCTTACACATTCTTGTAGCCCAGGTTCTG